GGGATCCCCGCGAGGGGCTCGGAAAGCTAGCGCCGTTACACATATACTCCGCCTCTACCGTCGAGACCGCCACCGCCGGTTGAAGACGGCTCGACCAACTCACTGCTCCCCTGAACATCAAGAAGACGTACCCCGTCGTAAACGCTTTGTGTCGACGTCCCCCGCATAGTCGGCGTCGCAAAACGCTTTAAAGACCTCGCCGCTCCCCCCAAAGGTCATTCCGGCTTCCGCCGTCCCCGCCAAGTAGCGCACCACCCCGAGCGCCGCCGCCCAATGCGCCTCCGTTGGCGCGCTCGTGTAGCGCGCCAATGAACCCACGGCGTGAGCGATGTCGGGCCGCGTGCACACGCTCAAGTACAACAAGCTTCCAATGAGCTCGCTATAGTGGAATCTCGCCGTGTCGAGCGGCTCACCCTCTCGTGTCAACTTCTTCCCCGCCCCAAGGGGGACCGAGCGCGCCCTTGCGCCCGCCAACCCGTGCCGCCCAAGAAGCTCCCCCGTGAGCTTCTTTTGTGTGAGCTTCAACGTACGCGCCACCCGGTCGCGCGCCAACTCCATCCCGAGGAAGTAGGTCGCCTCCCCCAAGTCGCGCACGTCGTACTTCTCCGCCAAGTGCGCCTTCACCTTCGCAATCCGCTCCGCCCCTCGGGCCGCGACGAGAATGTCGTCCACCCACACAATGAGGTAAACCCGCTCCCCGTCCACCACTCCCGAAAAGAGCGCCGCGTCCGCCGAGGACGCCACGAACTCAAAGTTCCCGAGCTCCTCCTCCAACCGCGTGTACCACGCACGCGGCGCTTGGCGCAACCCGTACAAGGTGCGCTTGAGGTGGCAAACCACGTTGGGCCCGCCTTGCTCGTACCCCTCCGGTTGCTTCTTGTGAGGAACGCCGTCTTGACGTCCAATTGGTGCAACTCCAAGTCGCGCTCCGCAAAAACCGCTAGGAGCGCCCGCAAAGTCGTGTGCTTGCTGACCGGGGCGTAGACTTCCTCGAAGTCAATTCCTTGCTTTTGCAAGTACCCTTTCGCCACTACCCGAGACTTGTACCGCTCCACGTTCCCAGGCACATCCCGCTTAATCTTGTAAACCCACTTCATGGGAACCGGCTTCACCCCCTCCGGTTTTTTGGCAAGCTCCCACAGACCGTTCTCCAACAAGGACCGCATCTCCTCGTCCATGGACTTCCGCCAAAGCATCGCTTTTTCGCTTAATCGCCGGTTGCACCACCGAAAGCTTGCTATAGTCGTCAAGGAAAGTGGCCAAGTACCTACTCCCCCCCTTTGACGTCACCGGCATGGGCCCGCACACGTCCATGTGCACGAGCTCTAGGGGTTCTTTGCTATCTTTGGAGTCCGACTCTTTGGGGGAGGGCTCACGAGTTTGCTTTCCGATGATGCAAGGCTCACACACCGAGGTTCTTTTGCTCCAGAATGCCTCCGCTTTGACCCCCACACCCCGGACCGAGTCCCCCTCAACCATCTTGGCTAGGCTTTCGTACCCGGCGTGCCCCAATCTCCGGTGCCACAACACCGGGCTCTCGGCTTCCCTCACGAGCAAGCAAGTATCTTCCCACGTTGTCTTCGGTTGACAAACAACGGGCATGCCCTCCGCATTCTTCTCCGCCCGAAGCACAACCTCTCCATCCATGGAAACCTCGCACACCTTCCCATGGAACACAACCTCGGCTCCTACCGCGGTGGCTTTCTTGACAGAGAAGAGATTCTCCGCCACACCGGGAACATAGGCAACCTTACGGAGAAGGATGACTTGCTCACCTTCCGGCGTCTCGCATCGCAACTCCACCGTGCCCACCCCGGCTACTTCAAGGAACCCCTTGTTCCCAAACTTGATTGCGCGAGTCCCCGGCTGAAGCATCTCCAACGTTGAGAACGAGCTCTTGACCCCCGTCATGTGTTGGCTAGCCCCCGTGTCAACAATCCACCGTCCGGTCTCCGCCCCTTCCCCGGCTACAAAGGCAACCCCTTGCCGGCCCCCGGTTTCCCCCTTCTTTGGGCACTCCCTCTTGAAATGATCCGGGCTACCGCATATGTAGCACATCTTTCCCGACTTGGGCTTCTCCGGCTCACGCGACCCGGACCGGCACTCTCTCTCAAAGTGCCCCAACTTACCACACTTGTGGCAAGCCATGGAAGCCTTTCCCGGGCCACCTTGCCCTTGCCCTTGCCGGCAAAGTTGCCACCCTTAGCCGCGTAGGCCACCGCCAAGCCCGAGGCCCCGCTATCTTGCTCCCCATGAAGCCCCTGCCTTTGCTCAAACACTTGCAATGTCGGAAGAAGCTCTTCCACCTTGCCAACCTCCTCCTTGGTGGTAGCCAACACCGTTACTACCCCCTCAAACTGGCTTGACAACCCGGCAAACACGCTAAAGGAGAGATCATCCGGCTTCATGTCCGAGCCGGCGGCTAGCAAATCCCGGTAAAGGTCGTTTGCAGGATAAGATCCATTCAGAGACCGCCACCTGTCGTAGGTCGGAACCTTGGTGTTAGGGGCGGCTCGGCCCCTCAACTTTGTAGGCCGAGAGCTAATTTGGCTACCGGCTAAACCACCGGGCACTCATGCATACCCCTATGTGACATGTATCAACTGCCCGGTCTATAGTGTACCGCGCTGTTGCGACCGGCCTGGCAGTGTTGCCCAAGTTCGGAACATTCAACCGGAGTAGGTGATACCCACTTAGGCCGAGTTTGAAATGCTTTTGTCCTCTTCGAGCATATGCGCAAATGCTGGCAGAGTCCCGTGCAACCGAATTTGAAATTACACTGACCGTAGAGGCTTACCCGCAGAAGTCGGTCGACCGTGCGAAGGATTTTGGGGAAAAATAATAAATATAGTCAGTATTTTGGCCCAATTTCCCCGATTTTGGATCATTTTGGATTGAAAATAATGAAATCTGGGCCAAGAAATGAAGTTTTTGCCCCAATAATATTCCATATTATTTCATATTTCAAACATACTGGCAAAAAACCAACTATTATTTCTTCCCGACCGACCGACCCACCCAAAAGGGGGTAGGACCGGAACCCGGGAATTAAATTCGACCCGCCTAAGTGGATTTGTCACTGCTGAGGCTAAGTGCTCTTTCATACCGTAGGGGACGTTGGAAAAAGCCTGGGTGATTGACGAGGACATGGTGGTCAAATGGGGGTTCTTATTTGAAAACGGGTTCATTTCGACGCAAACGGAAGATGTTGAGCCCCATTCAAGCAATCTTTGATATGATCCCAACTCAGCACATGACATCATAGACTGTCAGCATATCGCAACCATTCCTCTATCTCATTA